TACCCTCTCAGCAGAGGGCCTTACTTCCTTTAAGTGACTTGCCCAGAGTCACACAGCTAAGAAGTATTTGTTATGTGTCTGAGGCCGAATTTGAACTCAGGGCCTCCTGACTCCAGGGCCGGTGTTCTATCCACTGTACCACCTAGCTGCCCCCCCCCTTACTTCCTATTTTTATGAGACATTTGCCATGCCCTTCCTCTTTCCTTTTGTTCCACACCTCAAAATCTTTTATCATCAATTCATTCTTCCTTAAGTTTTAGTCTTTGATGAAAAGATAACACTTCTTGCTAAAGTTTATTTAACATTTATTCCCCTTCATGTACTCTGTGTTCTAGACAAAATAATTTATCTGCTATTTCATGAAAAGGACATTTAATCTCCCATCTCCAGGACTTTGCACAGGCTGTCCTCATTCCTGGAATACACTCCCTCCTCCTCTCCATTTCATAGAATCCCCTCTGCCTTCTTTTAAGATGCAGGTTATGTGCCACCCCTTATGAGGAACCTTTCCTGATCTGTCAGTTACTAGTGTCCTCTCTTCCTCTTAAAATAATCACATGCATCTTCATTTATCTATCTATCGGTTGTATCCCCTGGTAGAATGCAAGGTCCTTGAGGACAGAGATTGGAGGTTTATTTGGGGTTTTTTGGTCTTTGCATTCCTGGTGCCCAGCATGATACTTTGCACATAATAAATACTTAGTAAATGCTTCTTGGATCAAACTGTTGCATATTTGGGCTTTACTTAACTGCATATTTGAACTTGTTTTTTCTTTTCTTTTTCATTTTGCTTTTAAATCAGTTCCTCTACTTGAGTTTGTAATCTGGTTTTCCTCAGGCCCAGTGTATTGTAGAGCTGTTCAAATGAAGGGCTTATTTAGTAAAGCATGTAATTTGGATAATTTCTGTTTAACCTTTGCTTGCACTTGTTAAGATTTTCATATTCTCTGCCTTTCTCTTTCTCTTCTCACCCTCCCCCTTTCCCCTTGCTTTCTTTTTTAAAAGTTTTTAAATTTATTTTAAATTTAAATATAAAACAAGAAAAAAAATTGCCAGGCACACATCAGAACGTAAGAGAAGATTCAATTTAGAGCAATAAATTTCCATTTCAAGAAAACCTATATAATAAATACTACACATTGTTTTCAAAGCTGTTCAGCTTTTCTTTGCTTCCTTGGTAGTTTTCTTTTGTTCTCTGCTGTGCACTTTTTACTTTATTTCCCCCCCCTTTTTCCCCCTCAAGAGGGCTACAATTAAGTGTGTGTATGTGGATGTGTGCATGTGTATATGTATATATATATATATATATGTATGTGTGTGTACGTGTGTATATATATTCACACATATATACATAGATATCTATAAACATCCACATATGCACATATACACTCATACATATACATGTAAGACCATACTATGCTTATTTCCACTTGGCATGTATTTCTCTAAAGGTAAATAGCATCATCCTTCATATGTCCAAGTCTTTCCATGTTTCCATATCAACTAGCCTATCATTTCCTATACCACAGCAAAATTTCAACCCAATCACATTCTATCTGAGAGATTGTCTATGAACGTTTCTTCCTAATTTTCTGCATTCCTTCTATCTTGACTGCACAGGTTTTATTTATACAAGAAAATTTGAATTTAGAATAATCAAAATTAGCCATTTTACATTTCAACAGTGCTCTCACCTTATACTATGGTTTAAGGTCTGATACTACTGAATCTGGTTCCTCGTCTTTTTCCCTTGTTTTCCTTGAAGTTCCTGACCCTCTGTTCTCCCAAATGAACCTTGTTATTATTTTTTTAACAGGTAATTTTTTAATATTTTAATTGGGATGGCATTACATAAATAGATAAGTTAGGTAAAATTGTCATTTAAAAATATTGACTTTACTTACCCATGAACAATAAACACTACTTCAGTTATTTAGATCTAACTTTATTTTCCTAAAAGATGTTTTGTCAGGGCAGCTAGGTGGCACAGTGGATAGAGCTCTGGCCTTGGAGTCAGGAAGACCTCAGTTCAAATCCAGCCTCAGACACTTGACACTTACTAGCTGTGTGACCCTGGCAAGTCACTTAACCCCAATTGCCTCACCAAAAAGCAAAAAAAAAAAAGATGTTTTGTATTTATATTTGTATAGTTCCTGTGTCTGTTTTGGCAGGTATACTCTCAGGTTTTTTATACTGTCTAGTCATTTTAAATGGTCTAAAACAATATTGAATAATATGGCTGACACATAGTGGAATTTTCCTATTTTTCTCTTTTGATTAAATCTATTCTATCTTTAACTTTGTCTGAGATCATGATTACCACCTCTGCTTTTTTTTTTTAACATAACAAATTCTACTCCTGACCTTTATTTTATGTTTATGTGTATCTCTCATTTTTACAGCGTTTCCTGAAAGCAGCATATTGTTGATTTAAATTTTTAGTTTACTATCAGTTCCCCTTGTTTTCAACCTGTCCTAGTCCTCAGCTCCCACACTTATTTTTGTTTCCTTTAAAAAAGAAAAAGGCAGGCTCTTCACATTTAAAGAAAACAGTAGCCAAGACACACTGAAAACGCTGTCCATGGTGCTGTGTATACAGCTCTTCAGTCTCCTCCAACCAGAGCAGTACCTCTTTATAACCTTGGGAAGGCTTCTTGAGCCTGGCATTATCAAGGTTCAGTGTGTCTGATAAGTTGTGTGTGTGTATATATATATATATACATATATACACATATATATACATATATATATATATACACACACACATACATAACTTTGCAAACAAGGTCTCTTGCTTTGATATGCAGAACAAGTGTAGAGGAGTGACAGCTTGTAAAATGACCTTCTTTGCTATCTAGGGTTTCTTGAAATTTCTTGAAAAGCTGGTGTGAATCACAGACCATTAAATCTATCCAAATCTAGTTGTTCTTTAGTCATTTCAGTCATGTGCAACTCTTCATGACCCCATTTGGGATTTTTTGGGAAAGATACTGGAGTGGTTTGCCATTTCCTTCTCCAGCTCATTTTAAAGATGAGGAAACTGGGGCAAACAGGGTTAAGTGATTTGCCCAGGGTCACACAGCTAGTAAGTGTCTGAGACCAGATTTGAGGTCAAGAAAATGAGTCTTAATAAGCCCAGGCTCAGCACCCTATCCACTGTGTCTACCTAGCTACCTCATCCAAATCTAGAGACCTCTTTAAAAATCCACACTCTCAGCTTTTAGCTCTTTCATAACTAACCTG